TGGACCTAAAACATGACCAAATTCCTTTGGAAAAATGTCAATTTTTTGACTTTTTGGACTTCTTGATTTTATGGCCTTGAAAGGCGTATTTTGGTTCTAGACTGTTATAAAAGATATTTTCCTGGCCTATATTGCCTAAAAAAAAAAAAAATGGAAAAATGCCCATTTTTGGGCCAAAAGCATGGGTTAACCCCTTTAGAAAAGTGTCTATTTTTCGACTTTTTGGGCTTCTTGTTTTTATAGTCTAGAAAGGCGTTTTTTGTTGTAGAATATCATAAAAGACATTTTCCTGGTCTATATTGCCTAAAAAAAAAGTATGAAAAATGGTCATTTTTGGACCAAAACCATGGGTTAAAAATGTCAATTTTTGGAGTTTTTGGACGTCTTGTTTTTATAGCCTAAAAGGCGTTTTTTCCTTCTAGAATATCATAAAAGACATTTTCCTGGTCCATGTTGCCTTAAAAGAAAGTTGGAAAAATGTCCATTTTTGGACCTAAAACATGACCAAAACTGTTTGGAAAAATGTAAATATTTCGACTTTTTGGACATTTTGTTTTTATCGCTTAGAAAGGCGTTTTTTCGTTCTAAAATATCATAAAAGACATTTCGTGGACTATATTGTCTAAAAAAAAAAGTTGACAAAAGGGTCATTTTTGGACTAAAACCATGGGTTAATCCATTAGAAAAATGTCAATTTTTGGACTTTTTGGACTTCTTGTTTTTATAGCCTAGAAAGGCGTTTTTTCGTTCTAGAATATCATAAAAGACATTTTCCTGGCCTTTATTGGTTAAAAAAAAAATTGGAAAAATGGCTATTTTTCGACCAAAATCATGGGTTAACCCCGTTGGAAAAATGTCAATTTGTTGAGTTTTTGGATTTCTTGTTTTTATAGCCTAGAAAGGCGTGTTTTGGTTCTAGACTATTATAAAAGATATTTTCCTGGCCTATATTGACAAAAAAAAAAAGAGTTGGAAAAATGGCCATTTTTGGACCAAAACCAGGGGTTAAAAATGTCAATTTTTGGACTTTTTGGACGTCTTGTTTGTATAGCCTAGAAAGGCGTTTTTTCGTGCTAGAATATCATAAAAGACATTTTCCTGGCCTATGTTGCCTAAAAAAAAAGTTGGAAAAATGGCCATTTTTGGACCTAAAACATGACCAAAACCCTTTGGAAAAATGTTAGTTTTTCGACTTTTTGGAATTTTTGTTTTTATAGCCTAGAAAAACGTTTTTTTCGTTCTAGAATATCATAAAAGACGTTTTGCTGGCCTATATTGCCTAAAAAAAAATGGTGGAAAAATGGCCATTTTTGGACCTAAAACATGAGCAAAAGTCTTTGGAAAAATGTGAATTTTTCGATTTTTTGGAATTGTTCTTTTTAGAGCCCTGTAAGGCTTTTTTTCGTTCTAGAATATCAGAAAAGACATTTTCCTGGTCTATATTGCCTAAAACCATGGGTTAACCCCTTTGGAGAAAATGTCAATTTTTTGACTTTTTGGACTTCCGGATTTTATGACCTAGAAAGGCGTATTTTGGTTCTAGAATATCATAAAAGATATTTTCCTGGCCTATATTGCATAAAAAAAATGGTGGAAAAATGGCCATTTTTGGACCTAAAACATGAGCAAAAGTCTTTGGAAAAATGTGAATTTTTCGATTTTTTGGAATTGTTCTTTTTAGAGCCCTGTAAGGCTTTTTTTCGTTCTAGAATATCAGAAAAGACATTTTCCTGGTCTATATTGCCTAAAACCATGGGTTAACCCCTTTGGAAAAATGTCAATTTTTCGATTTTTTGGAGTTCTTGTTTTTATAGCCTAGAAAGGCGTTTTTTCGTTCTAGAATATCATAAAAGACATTTTCCTGACCTATATTGCCTAAAAAAAAAAAAATCGAAAAAGGGCCATTTTTGGACCAAAATCTTGGGTTAACCTCTTTGGGAAAATATCACTTTTTTGACTTTTTGGACTTCTTGTTTTTAGAGCCTAGAAAGGCGTTTTTTCGTTCTAGAATATCATAAAAGACATTTTGCTGGCCTATATTGCCTAAAAAAAAAATTGGAAAAATGGCTATTTTTGGACCAAAACCATGGGAAAATGTCAATTTTTTGACTTTTTGGACTTCTTGGAAAAATGTCAATTTTTCGATTTTTTGGACTTCTTGTTTTTATAGCCTAGAAAAGCGTTTTTTCGTTCTAGAGTATCATAAAAGATATTTTCCTGGCCTGTATTGCCTAAAAATGAAAGTTGGAAAAATGGCCGTTTTTGGACCAAAATCATGGGTTAACCCGTTTGGAAAAATGTCAATTTTTCGACTTTTTGGATTTCTTGTTTTTATAGCCTAGAAAGGTGGTTTTTTTTGTTCTAGAATGTCATAAAAGAGATTTTCCTGGCTTATATCCCCCCCAAAAATTTTGTACAAATGTCCATTTTTGGACTAAAACCATCTAGAACAATTAAACGCATTTTTTAGGTTATAAAAACAAAAAGTTCTAAGGGTTTAACCAATGTTTTTGTCCAAAAATGGGCTTTTTTTCCAACTTTTTTTTTAGGTAATATAGACCAGGAAAATGTCTTTTACGATATTCTAGAACGAAGAAACGCCTTTCTAGGCTATAAAACAAGAAGTCCAAAAGGTCGGAAAATTGACGTTTTTCCAAAGTGGTTAACCCTTGGTTTTGGTTTAGAAATAGCCATTTTTGCAACTTTTTTTTTAGGCAATATAGGCCAGGAAAATGTCTTTTATGATATTCTAGAACGAAAAAACGCCTCTCTAGGCTATAAAAACAAGAAGTTGAAAAAGTGGAAAAATTGACATTTTTTCAAAGGGGTTAACCCATGGTTTTGCTCCAAAAATGGCCATTTTCCCAATTTTTTTTTTAGGTAATATAGGCCAGGAAAATGTCTTTTATGATATTCTAGAACGAAAAAACGCCTTTCTAGGCTATAAAAACAAGAAGTTCAAAAAGTCGTGAAATAGACAGTTTTCCAAAGGGCTTAACAGATGGTTTTGGTCCAAAAATGGTCATTTTTCCAACTTTTTTTTGAAGGCAGTACAGGCGAGGAAAATGTCTTTTACGATATTCTAGAACGAAAAAACGCCTTTTTAGGCTATAAAAACTAGAAGTTGAAAAAGTGAAAAAATGAAGATTTTTCATTCATTTTTTTATACCATAGCTTTTGTCAAAAATTGGCCATTTCTCTTTCGCTTTATTATTTTAGGTAATATAGTCCAGAGAAATGTGTTTTACGATATTCTGCAAGAGAAAACGGCTTTCTAGGTTATTAAAAGAAAAAGTTCAAAAAGTGGAAAAATTGACGTTTTTTCAAAGGGTCCATGGTTTTTGTCAAAAATTGGCCAGTTTTTGATCGTTTTATTTTAGGCAATATAAGCCAGGAAAATGTGTTTTACGATATTCTAGAATAAGAAAACGCCTTTCCAGGCTTTAAAAACAAGAAGTGCAAAATGTCGAGAAATTGAGATATTTCTAAAGGGGGTACTCCATGGTTTTGGTCAAAAATTGGCCATTTTATCGTCTTTTTGTTTTAGGTCATAAACGCGCGCTAATAAAGTCGAGGAGAGGTAAGAAATGTGCGGTAAACGTAAAAGTTGAGTGAGGTTTAACCCTTAAGTTGATATGCGACTTTGCATTCTTTCCATACATACGTAAAATCTTTGTGAATGTGGGAAACCACCCTTTTTTTGAACGTTTCATTGCACTTGCATTTTTCAGTTGCGTTTAAACCACTGAAGAATGGGGTCATCCTTGAATAGTCTGGTTTTCCTTTTTTAAGATTAATAGACGTCTATTTAACGACATATGACAGAAGGCTCTTTTTTTCCTACGGTTATTATGTAAGCCAGGGTCAAAACTGATTCTGGATTTTGGAAGTATCCGCCGCAGTAATTGCTCAGTTGGTAGTGCACTTGACTGCAGGGCGGGAGGTTGCGGGTTCGTATCCCGGGACCGCGGACCAATACTCAGGGTCTTGAAGGAACTGAGAAATGAATGTTCTGTGTTTGCCCTGCTGACGAGTAAATCTTCGCGTGGCTCGGTTGACCATGTAAAAATTGGTGGTCACTGTCGACTTCGCAATTAGTACTTTCGTGCAAATACATTGATACTAAAATGAAGTGTATTTTTTTTATCAAAATATTTATTTACAACCACTCTATTTGTTTATTGGAAGGCATTAAAGAAAAACATCTATTTCTGGCGCACACCCGGACTGATTAAATAAATCTGTCCATTCCCATCTGTTAGCTATGGCAGATGGAAGTTTCTTATTTGTAAGAACTGGGGCGCTTTCCATTCCGGCAAAATTTCCGGTTGGAAATTCCGGAAATATTCCGGATCAAATGGAAAGGCTTCCCCCTGAGAGCCTCTTTTACAATATCACTCCTCTCGTGAAGTAAAAGTCCAACAAAATGGATGTCTGTAGCATTGCGGTACTTTTGGACAATTTCGACGAATTTCTTGCAAGAGCAAGAGACAGCGTTCTCACATTGGACGTGCAGGTTTCATTTTGAACGATACGATAAGAAGTGGAAAAAAAATGCGACTTCCCGTGAACAACGCTTACTGATTGGAAATGGCGGGAAAAAATTACAGGTGCCAGCCACTGGCCGAAACTGAATTGCGCAAATTTCGGGAATTTTTGTTCCAACCGGTTAGAACGGAAAAGTTGGAATACCTAGCTCCGCTCGAAGTTCGCCCGTTTGTTCTGAAAACATTCCTATGGAACCGCGTGTTTAATTTGCATTTAAACCGGTCAAACTGGAAATTTTGCCTAAATGGGAAGCGCCCGTCCATCATCGGTATCACCGGGCGCCCCCCTGATTTTGGTCCCCAAAACAGCAGTTGGGAAAACAATACCATTTTTATCTCACTTATTACATCAATTGACACAGTTTAAGGATTCCAGTCTTTTGGTTTGTTCTTGGAGCCTCGGGAAATATTAGGATTGAAACATCAAGACTCGATTCCCTTTTTTAGCAAAATTTACAACTTGCTGGAGGAATCATTGACGTCCGTATTTTTACTATACTCAGAAGATGATGTTAGGCTATTTTTTGACATAGGAACATAGTAATCGTGTGGTGTTGAGGCCACTGTCGTTTGATTCACGTTGTTTTCAGCCATTGGCTGGTGATAATTAGCAGATGAGGATGAGCCCTTTGATTTGACAAAAGGGTCATCTATTTTATTAATCGTCATCGGCTCGTAATATTTTGGTGAATCGGGAGAGGTGTTTGCCTTATCCATTCCTGAGCTCATAGGCTCATAATACTTGGGTGAATCAGGCTTAATAGCACCTGCCATCGGTTCATAGTTTTGGTCTGAATATTGACCGTGAAATTTGTCACCATGTTCCTGGTTTAATCCACCTTCCATTGACTCATAATATTGTTTCCCGGATTTTAATGATGTCCCATTCGATGCATTCTTTACCTGAGGTGAATTTGTATCGCTCACTAGCTCAAGATATTCTGGGATAGGTTTTGCATAAGCAGGCTGGCCATAATTCTGGGGAGTATCCATTGTTCGGAAATCCAGTTTCTCGTATAATTCACTATCGTTGTAATCTTTTTGTGGGTCAATCGGCTCGTAACAAGCGACTCCTATCGTTGATGGATCAAGGGTTTGGTACTGAGGACGTGGCAGAGGCCTAGACGGTCTTTGTGCTCCGTTTTCTCCAAGGAGCCCTGAGGGCGTATGAACGGTTGATACACTGCCGTTGAGTTCGTTTGATGCATCGTTGTATGAAGATGTCTGCATCCTGACTCTTTGCCTTTCTGTAACACAAGATGATAATTACTGAGGGATTTTATTCAATGTATATTAATCTGGGAGTTCAAAACTGCATATATGGAAGGACGTTTATATCTAAAAAGTTCTCATATAATGGAATTATCAGTCCAAATGTTCTGTAACTATGAGTTCAGTCAAAGTTCGCTTACTGAGAATTAATGACTTGTACTTCATGCAATAACTGTAGTGCTGTTTTAACGATTAGTCATTTTATATAAATTTCAAGTCATATATCATTGTGATATGAAGTTTAAAAAGCAACATTTAAACCATTTTTATTTTATTTCCTCATTTTGATGTCACCTGTAACATATTATTGAACAGGAGCACGCACCGCCACTTGGATGCCAGTATTCGTTTCGGAAAATGAATGGAAATGAAAAACCTGCCTCGTAGGGTTTAACCGGTGGCAGTAGCCCTTGGACAAAACGGAGAAAAACATTTTAGATATTCCCCGCGGGTGTCTAAAATATAATTGATTTTGAGTAACGGCCAATCACACGTCGCTAATTTTTTTTTTACATTGTATGTACTCTTTTAGATGCAAGTTAATGCTAAGTCATGATTGAAATAAAAACTAACCTCTATCCCCTCTTGCCTTCTTTCTCTTGTAGCAGATCAGAATGACAACTAAAAAGGCAATCAACGCTACACCAAAGACTGCACAAAGAATCACCCACAGTTTAAGTCCGGAACTCTCCGTTCTAGAGCCTGTGACCAGAACTGTGACAATGAAAATGAATATAAATCACTGAACCATGAATGCGCTACCCTACCAGCTGCGGATTGTGTGGTCCTGCTTAGACCTACCTTGAACATTAACCCAGGTGGAAGTTACATTCATTCCCAGGCTGTTTTCAGCTACACACTGATAAATTGCATCATGCCAGGTTTCTATGTTTGTGAGCTCAAGAACGTTACCTTTTACTCTTAATTTTGAGCTGCAAAAATAAACAATGAAAAATATTGAAGCTTAAATCACAGAAGAGAGGCCGAGAGCAGTATATAACAACAGGTCAGCTCTTATCAAGAACCACTTGACCGCGCCCGACTACCGATACTAGGCTGATTTACCAACAGAACGAGAACGTCATTTGACGACGGGAAAGCGCGCGAAAAGGACTAAACTCGACTTCCGGTGCGCAATTTGCGGCTCTGCCTTTGGTCAAGCAAGTTGTTTGATTTGCCCGCGCAGTCGTCAACTGACGTTCCCATTCTGTGGCTAAATCAGCCTACTATATAACGTACAGACATTTGCAGGGCGTAGCCTTTGATCGCGCATTTGATCATATTCGAATTTTAATTTGCGCGCTATAAGCAATAATATTATTATAAAGTAAAGCATGGTCTTGCGCCTATTTACAGCTCTAAGTTATTCAGTGCAAAGAACACGCAGTAGGAACCATGATTTGGAACTACCTAAATTCGGAACTGTTCTATATGGGAGACACTCTGTAAAAGACTTGGACTGAGATACTTCGTGATCCGACTGAAAAAAGTAATTGTGTACGTAGTAGGTTTAATTGATAATTTTAGTGATAAAAAGACTTCAAGGCCCCATTAGCTGTTGAGCTAAATACTTTGACACGTGATAAAGTTTTCATTCATTCATTCATTCATTCATCAAGCGATATAAAAGGACTGAGAAAGGGGGGTTGTGAGGAGAGGGGAGAAATTGTAAGCTGTATATGAACTAGGTGAAGTGCATACTGGAACATGGACCAAAAAAAGGCCAGCATAGACAGGATGGTATAACCTAATGCAGTCCTTTGAGAGACGAAGAGACTTGAAATTGGGAATTGCACTTAGTTAATGTAAATGATGCATGGATTGTCTCAATTTAAAGTTGAACATTATGCATAAATACAGGGCAGGTCGTACTTTAAATTGAACAAAGCAAAGTTTATTGATGTTGGTATAATCCTGTAAAAGCCGTTAAATCAAAAAAGAACAAGCCAATATATTTTAGCCTACGTGTAGCGGGGATCGGGTGCGGCTACAAGTAGGCTAATATATTTTAGCCTTACTCTGACACATTTATCTTTTGTCCATTCCTGAACCAGTGGTACTGCGGGTTAGGTTTTGCTTTGGCCACGCACGTCAAAACGTTTGACTTTGTTGTCTCTACCAACGTTTTTGAAGGGAGTGGTTTTTCCCACTTTGGTGAAGCTGAAAAAATTACGTATAACGAAAATTAGATTAGTGTTTTAGTTATATTTGGTTTAAAACACAAAATAGTATTTCGCGTTGAACTTATGAATTCAATGAAAAGCGTCCCTTGAGTTTTTTGAAAAGCTTCAAAACATGTCCCATGGTTTTTCATGTTACTCCTGCAATTAATGTATTTTCCCCGAGGCTGATTTCAATTCTCCCCTGACCTTTTTAGGCAGATGAGTATCAATGCATTTTTGACAACAGCACGAGAGTCTAAACTAAAGTATTTTACAACCAAGACAGTGAGCAACAAGCCTATTATTATTATACACTCACGACGTAAGCATAAAAGCGAGGCTCAAGAGGCAACAAGATTTGCCGCAACCTTCAAAAAGGGTAAATAGGGCGGCGAAAACAGGAACGATCTAGTGATCTAGAGATTAAACATTTACCCCAAAGGATATTCCCGCTGAAGCAGTTATAGTGAAGGAGCATGCGTTGGAAAGTAGACAGTGGAGAAACAAACCTTCCGCAAGGATCCTTCGGAAATACATGAAACGCCAAGCCTTTCCTAATATTGGAAATACTACAAAGGGCAGGAGCGCAGTATTTATAAGAACTATTTTTTGTTGTAGTTGTAGGGTGCACTTCTGCCACTTTATATAATTTAATTACGATGTGGCTCTTAGACGACACTTTCGTGTTTACGACGTCGTAAGTAAGTGTGCATTTTATTTATTATTATTAAAAACTGAATCATCGGATAATGCAATTCCAGAGATCTGCTTGGTTTAGCCATCATGGTAAACCATGTTCTCCAAATATGGTAACTGTACGCGTCTGCACAAAATTAATAACAAGCTGAAAATCGGTTGTTTTTACAAATAAAGTCGGGAAGAATTCTCGATATTTTGTGGATATGAGATCTACCTATCATCTCACATCCAACTTGCACTAGTGGAATAATTGTTAATTATTGTTATGATTATTATGACTATAATCTGGATTACGATTATCATTATATTGTATTTATTGTAATGCTGAGGACAGTTCTTAACGAGCCAAAAAAGGGCGAAATCTGTGCACCCTGAATGACAGTAAGAAGTTGAAATTTAAAACACTTAGGCGCATAAACGTCTTAATTCTAACACTGTTTTCATCTCAAAACCTGAAATTCAGTTAAGTCTTTTCATAAAATCTTTTAATTATAAAAAAGGCAGCAAACAAACCTTGCACGGTCAAAAAGGTTGCCTTGGACGCGTGATTGAAACTACCGTCAGTAGATGAAGCAGTACATGTGTATGTTCCCTGATGCTCTTCCTCTACCTGGGGAATTATCAAAAGCCTACCGAAATGTTCTGAGGGCAAAAGAAAGTCTTCCTGATCATCTTTAATCTCTTCACCATCTTTTGTCCATGTTATGATTGGTGGAGGTCTGTCACACGGGAAAAAATCAACAACAACTATCAGAAAATCGCAAGATGTCTTGAGAGATATGTGACGTTAGTTTTAATGAACTTAAAGAGCAGTATATCGATCGTAATCTTACTTTGCTCCAGCAAGACAGTACAGCATCTTTTCAGAACCTTCGATAGCTTGCTCTTTTAGGTCTGGTGAGAAGTATATTTTCGGTCCTCGGTTTCCTATGAACTCTACAAAAATGAAAAAAAGAAAAAACAACAACAACAACAACAAAAAAACAAGTAGGGAAAATAAAATTAAAAATTAGAAAAATATGATGAGATAAAAAGAAGATTTAAAGAGCTGAGAGATCAAAAACAGTTTAATCATGCAAAAAACGCTGAATGTGCAGAAGGTAGTGTGTGGGCACAGGAGATTGGGTGTGATGAACGGCGAAAGAAAAAGTTCGACCTCCTTTTCCTTGTACTTCTTTCTTATCCTTCTGTTTCTCTATGACTTCTGGTGTAGGATGCAAAATTATAGATATCTATATATAATTATTATTCCTAATTTAAAATTACTTGAAGACCAGAAAAAAGAAAACATCAAATTTTACGAAAAACAAATGTTCGGTGACACTTTACTATGTTATGTGTGTGTGAGTACGAGGTAATTCACCCTACCTAGACCGTGTAACCGGAAATTGACCTCATGTGAGTAAGTCTTATTTTCAACAGTGGCCATCTCACAGACAATTCCCTTTGTCTTTCTAACTTTCTCCACGTCGTGTAATGTTACAAACATTATCACCAAGGTTCCTTCAAGCGTCACCGCAATTCGCTCGTCTTCAGATAAGGCATTGAATACTTCGGGGTTTGAGGGATCGATACCACCCCATCGATATGTCACGCCAAAACTGGGCTTGTGTCGTGGACAGGGGACTTCAACGGGTTTTCCAAGAGTGACGGGAGCAACTTTATGATCTTCGAAATAAAATCCCCCTGGGACTGAAACAACAAGAAGCGTAGCTTAGATTAGAAGAATAGCTTAGATTACTATAGCTATAATTCATCAAAAAGAAGATTTGTCAGTGATGCAGATTATAGTTAATGTTCCCACTGAAATGTGGTACTAATTATTGAAAATTTTTAGTCTAGTTTCTATGTTGCTAAATTAACTTTATATACACGACAGCATGGAAAAGTAGTTAAATTTGCGAGGGATTAAAACGGTTATAGTTACAATGACGATTACAATGATGATGACAACAATGTTGATGATGTTGGTGCAGATGATGATGGCAATGATAATGATAATGATGGCAATGATATTGATAATACTGATAATGATATTAATAATAATAATAAACGATACTGAAAACGGACGAAAGGAGAAGGATTTGCGGAGTGGCCATATCCTCGGGGGAGTTCTTAATCGTGGTTGTATCTATATTTATGCGAAGTATAGGGGAATTCATTCCAAAGTGGCGTTTATTCTGTTGTATTTTTTAGGACAAGGTTTAACAACTTGTCCCTGACGAATGAGACACTGAGGACATCAGGTATATAATTGAGCGTATAGTACCTGACACATTGACCTGCAGTTTTCTGCTGAAATCCATGCCATAATTATTTTTTACAAAGCACTGGTATTCCCCGCTGTTTCTCTGATTAAGGGATTGTCCCACAAGTGTGCCCGAAGGCAAAAGGCGATAAGCCCCTCCGTATTTAATATTGGCTCCATTCAGCTGCCATTTGTAGTGTAAAGGTCTTGTACCAGATGCCTCGCAAGGAAGCTGGAACCCACTCTTTGACGTCACATCTCCAGGCTGATTCAAGTCATCAGCTAAAAACTTGGTTATAACAGGTGGTTTTCCTGACAATATAAAAGGAGTTGTACATTATTCTGGTATATATTCCAACAAATGCCATGTTGGTTATTGGAATAAGTGATACGACTGCTTCGAATATAAGCAGTTGATAGGAGAAGTATTCAAGAACATACAATTTTTTTGTGTGGTTTAACTTTCAAATAACTGGATCGAATGGTCGCTTAACTGACCTCATACTCATAAGCGCGCCAAAATTGCAACGCTGTAGTTAAAAAAGTTAAATGGGTGTCTTAGCTTTTAGATATATATTCAAAATAATAGGTCTACAGAACATGATGAACCATACATTTATCAAATGACTTTGACTAACTCACCCGAGAATGTACTGTGGATCCCTTGTAACAGAAACACCCAGGCCATGAACGAAGGAAACATCGTTTTCATCTGAAAAAAAAAAAAATATTTATTATTTGGTATTGCGCAAATTAACATATGTCAAATGATCAAATGCACATTACAAACTATTAAAGCTACAGAATCAGGATAAGTTGGAAGGCAAACAAAGTCAACAAACAAATATTCAAACACAGATTAAGTGCTCAGCATTTATGTTGAAAGTTTAAAGCAACAGGCCCCGACAATTTGAAGTAAAAGTTTATTGGTGTTGAAAAAGTGGGGGGCAGGGGGCGGAGGGACGAAGCTAAGGAGAAAATGGAGTAAACAAGCTATTTGAATCGTCGACTTCAACATAAAATAACATCGAAAAGATTTCATTTAGTTTATTATAACTGATTCACATTTTATTTTGTCTCGCACAGTATGTTTTGAACTACCGCGTAAATCCTCTACTAAACCCCCCTTTCTAATAAGCCCTCTCTTTCTTAAGGGGAGAGAGTTAATAAGCCCCCCCCCCTCCCACTTTAACTTCCCCCCTTCCCTTCCGCTTATTATTATTATTATTATTATTTACTAATAAATGATAAACTGTATTAATCCGATACGACTGTAAAACTTGATCCAGGATGGTTTATTCACCAGCTGGAATTACAGATTCGTTTTTGATCCTCGGCTGCATGACTTCCAACCGTTGTACTTGAGCTTTTCCACTTTACAGTTTTTTTTTTCCTTTTAAGGAGACCTAAAACCATCATCTTTGGTAAGACCAATAAGTCCCTCCCTCCGACTTAAAGTCCAAAGTCTACACTGATATTTCGTGTTAAGACCAGGTCATTTAGTGACAGTGCGGATATTTCGAGACCAGTAGCAAAGGGTGGCTTTGCACGTTGATGGCCAGGAGAGGTCTCACAGAGTCGATAATTAAGTCAATGCAGTCTCCCTCCAATTTTTAGTATTATTTTGGGAAATATTCTTTTTTTTGTCAAGGACATATCAACAGCAATTGTTTGTTTTTGTTTTTGTTTTGTTTTTTGCGGAATGATTTTATTAGCGGTGTACGGTTTTATAGGGCACGTGACTGAAAACTTTCCAATTCTGCCCTTTGACTCAATATATGGATTACACAGGTTATATTTAAAGAGACACTCAGTATGTTCAAATTACCAGGTTTGACATGACACCGTATACCATTTAAGAAATAATTGAATTATTTTGCGATGGCCGATATCAAGAACCTCCTTGATAGTCTAACAGTATTCGTAAATGCGGCCTTTTCAAGGCTCATCACAGAGCAATCAAAATATTTTTTTCTCTAAATTGCGGTATTTCTAAATGTAATTAAATGACAATCACTAAGTTGCACAAGCTAATGGTTTTTGCGGAGTGTTCATTTATCATTAACCCCAAACACTTAATATAGATCTCATCCAATGCCCTCTCCATTCAAACCACTAATAATAAAGATTTTATTAATGTGCCGTCAAAAGCCTGGTTTACAAGGTGTAAACTAATTGATGACACCTACAATATATCTTATACATCCGGATTTTGAACGAAAATTGGCACTGACCGGTAGCGATTACATTTATTTTATACATTGATCCAAATGCCAGGTATGATAGTTTAATACATTGCAATCATATACATCATGATTCTGGAATGGAGAGTTTGATAACTTTCACCGACTGAATGAGTTCGCTTAATATATGATAAGCTAGAAAACGAGCTCTTAAACTGAAAACTACTTACGTCCAATTCAGCGAAAATAAGATTGCTATGGCCTGGTGGTCAGTCTAATGGCCTGCCAACCGCACAACAGTGACTGAGTACTGCTGCTTTAACGCGGAAGATTTCCAACAAACTGCTGTCAGAACAATTAGCAATATCATACTTTTAATAGCAATCGTGAAGTGGTATTTTAACAACTTCTCAAATGCCAATTTTTTACAGGCTGCAGTGTCATTCAACTTTACGTTGACGCCTGTGGTTACAAGAATAGCATGAAGGAGTACGTGACAAGGCAGAAGACCATTAGAAAAGCGTGATTGGACCATTAGAAAAGGGGTGGGGGGGGGAAAAATTCCAAAAATTAAAACAAAAAAAATTTCTTCAGGAAATTATTAATAAAAAATATATTCGTACGGATTCTGGCCAAAAAAATATATGCCCAAGGAGAGGAAAAAACTCATGTTGCATTTCTCAAAATCTCCCCCCACCCCCACCCCCCGCTCACTTTTCAAATGGTCCATCCGTTACTATGGCCGAGGTAGGGCATTGTATAATTATTTTTATCTTTCGTTACATTTAATTTAAAACATTTCTCTGTCCCCGTTTTCTGTACCCTGAATGCATATGCCAGAGGCTTTTCATCTGCGGTTTCCGGAGAAACAGCCTCTGGTATCCAGAGTACCATTTCTGATACTCTATTGATTTTAATAATTCATGATTAAATGTTTGTTTTCGTCGTCAATTAAGACAGAGAATGGATAATTGTGGTAAAAAAAAATTCGATGTAAAACCATTGAGACGTTTTCCGTCCTTAAACTATTTTGCACTCCTAGCTGATCGATGGAATGATGTGTTTGTTATCCTGGCGTTTACTGTCATAAAGAAACGCAATGTAATACGCGTATTAAAAAGCCAGCTCAAGCGAGCTCAGTCGTATCAAAGCTTTTTTTCCTGTAAAATGAATATGATCGCCTCTTTTAGTATTTTTTGACTACTTAAAAGTAAGATCGAAGTTTTTTAAAAAAATCAAAACTTGTAAGCTTGGCGGGATAGTTCTACCGGGTACACAGCATCGTCGAATGTTCTCAAGTCCAACGCATAATTTCATTAAAACACAGCCGTTGTAAATGTGAAAAGCAATTTGTTTTGTTTACGTTCTTCAGTTTTAACTGAAAGGAAAAGTTCATTACATGCAAAGCTAATATAGTTTTTTGCCTACTCTTGGCTTTTACACGACGTACTGATGAAAATGCCCGAGGGCACACGTCGTCGGTACGATCGAGTGAAGACGGTTGACTTTGAAAATCGGACATCGCTTTTCATCTAACGTATTGAATTAAAACAAATCATAAATGATATAAAGGTCTCTTTAACTACGTATCGGTGAAGAAAAAACTAAGATAAATACTCACCGGTCCTCCTCGCTTGAACCCGAAGGAAGTTTCTACGTTCACCTTCAAGTTGCTAAAACAATCAATTTAAGTTACTTCACCGCTTTCAACAAGTTAGTCAAATATGGATCTCATGTATGCGAACGGGACAATAAAAGAAATTGCATGAATATTAACATTGAGTTTACTTTTGTGGCGAGGAATACAATGCAATTAGCATAATAAAACATTGATGTTTGATGTGAAGAAAGATTTACGGCGCACCGAAAAGAGTTTAAGCCTCCGTCCACACGAATCAAGGCCGGGGTCCGAAAAAATTCTGGAGAGCTGTTTTTAGAAAGATGAGGTTTTGGTTAGCGGACGGAAGGTCGACTCGTGTGAAAACAATTAAGAAAAAAAGAAAAAGAAAACATGAGGATTCGTGCTGACAAGGTATAAGAGACTCACTTATCTGTTTATCCCAGCAAGATTTTCTCGACAAGTAGTCCTAGAAAACTAGCTATTTCAGTTGACAATCCTCAAAACTCTTAGGCTCGATTTCCGCCGTCTCCCGGGTCCGGTCTTGATCCCCCCGCTCCTTCGGGGGGATTAGTGCGGGCTCATTTTCCCGAACAGCGGCTGGTATCGAGCCTATAAAATTCTCTGCCCCTGAAACCTGTTCGTTATTATTAACAGTTTTTATTCAACATCACAACCAAGAATGAAATTGTACTCATACCTCTCATAATTAAATGTACATTTTTTACAATGGATAAAAAAGGAGCTTTTAAAAAATAGTTTACAAGCTCGATTTTAAAGTTATTATTAACATTTTTTACTCAACATCACAACCAAGAATGAAATTGTACTCATAACTCCCATAAATGTACATTTTTTACAATAGATAAAAAAGAACCTTAAAAAAATACTTTGCAACGTAAACCCTACTTATGTACTAAATACAAATAGCAACGCTTGCCCTGTATATATCTTTCTTATTACAAAAATTTGCTCAATCCTTATACTTTTCAAGAAAATTGGTTGTACCTTGTCCGTAAAGAAAAGTAGTGTGTGTCGGTTTCGCAAAAGTTGTATGTTTGTGTTTGTTCTTGTCATTTCTTGGATACTGGCAACTTTAGTGCAGTGACAATACTACTCATCCAGCTTTTCTACGAAAGGGTCATCGTAACAGTACCTTATAGCTTGACGAAAATTCCAATAAGTAGTGTAAAAAAGCAAACTACAGAGAGCTAGATCTGTTTCCTGCATTGTTTGAGTTCTTCAAGTAAATTACATCTTATTCAAAAATTTTCCAGAGTTACTGACTAGAGGTAATGGATTAAATGACTGGTTAACTAAATATAACCCTCTTACAAACAGATGTATTGACCCAGCTTTATATATTAATCGGATTAAAATGTGATTATGATAATGATGATGATGATGATGATGACGATAAACCTAGAGGAACGTTAAGATCTGTTTGTTTAACAAGTGGTTCAGTTTGCTTAACTTCAGTTTCTAGTCTGCGACTCTTAAGACGTATGTTTACATCAAGCAAAATGATTTTAGGTTCGGCCATATTGAAAATGGCTATCTAAGAGTTAACCCTTACACATTTCAACTGTCATCCTTTAATAAATTCACTGAAAAGATGGAGATGGCTGGCACGTAGGACACGTGCATGCATGCTCCACTGGGTTTTGGGGCTGCATACTCTGCTTTTGAGGCTGACCACTGGTCTCCTGAATGGGGTATCCAAAGTCACTGTCAGGTGGCGAAGCTTGCCTTGCTCTGGGATACCTCTCGCTTGCCCGTAGTGTACTTGTGGCTGTGGTTTGATACTCAGCATAAGTGCATGCCACTTGTTCATTTGGGCTGAGGAGTTGCTGGGGCTCTTCATGTGACTGGCGGATCTCCTCATTAGGGTAACCCATTTCTTGAATCGGCACAGACGGTTCAGGCCTATCAAGTGCTTCATTTAATGTAGCCCCTCGTGCAGAGGACACCTGATCCCCAATTAGCAGACCTTGCAGAATGCTATCCACTGAACGATCTCTTGCAGGGATGTGACTATCTACGTCTTCAGATGGTTGACGTCCCACAGCCTGTATGGCAATAAGAATGATTAAGAATAAACTAAATATTCTACGTTTAATTCTGTAACATAAGGTTTATAGTTTTATGAAGTCGATAAGAGAAAAGCTGTATAAAATGGAGAAAAAACTAGTAAATGGAAGAGAATAAGACTAAAGATAAAATTAATGTACAAAGGGAGATTAAGTTAAAAAACTGAGTCTTTTTACATAAATGTACTGTTAAAAAGCTCCAATGTTTCTTGGACTTATTCTAAATTAACACAGGAGAAAAATTTACATAGGAGAAGAAATACTAGAAAAAAATGCTACGGTAATCCTAAATGTGATTATTATTAGCATCTCTACCAAGGAACAGCCTAGCGAGATCAAACCCGTGAAGCTAAATATAACTCCCAATAAGAAGCAGGAGACGGCGCCTTTCCAATCCATTAAATTACATTACTAATAAGGTTAAGCAATTCTCGTTAAGCATGTCAAAGAGAGATTATTAGATTTCTTTTCTGTCTTTTCATAAACTCAGTGCAACTTAAACTCGGCACCTGGAGTTAAAACTAGCGGCGCAAAGTTAAAAAAGAAAAACTAAAGCCCTTCAAGGGGCTTGATGAACACTTTGTTAATCGACGAACTATTCATTTTGACTGAACTGAAATATAAACATAATAAAATGGGACTTAAAATCTGAAGGACAGGCTAATCTTCCGTCCAGGCAAAACCAAGAGCCATAATGGCTCTTGGCAAAACATAATATTATATAGCTGCTTACTAAGCTTTACTAGATAAAAGCAGGCTCAAAAAACTCATTTAAACATTATTCTGAGGTGAGGAATTGAATTTTTTTTATTATTATTTTTTAGATTTTTGAAATTTTCTCCGCAGCATCTGCCTCTTTTCATATTCAGAACTAGAAGAAGAAGAAGAAGAAGTAGAAGAAGAAGAAAAAACGAATTACCGGTAAGCTACGGCTTTGCACGTCCAAGTCTCTATTACCTCTGAAAACAAAGAAAAAGGTACATTAAGGCCCATGACAACTGCCCTTGTATCACGTCTGCTAATAGTTACTGGCATGATCTACTCAACAGACATTATCGCACATTTTCTCCTAGTCGGGTCAGAGGATATATAAAAGTTCCTTTTTTTCAGTTCAGATACTTAAACCTCCTAATTAGTTCTCACGGCTGGGACGTTGCCAACCAAAACCAAAACCCCGTGATTTTGAGTCTGTTCGCCAAACCAATCAAATTCTTACATTCGTTTCGGCAGCCGGTGACCTTATGACGAAACTTTATTATATCGTCTATCAAAACCCACCAAAGATTTTAAGCTTAAAAATTAATTCAGTGAAAGGTAAAGATCACAGCTACGTACAGTCAATCAGTACTCTCAAAGCGAAGTTATACATAGTGTCTCTCTTTTAAGAATTCTTGTGCAGGATTTTGATTCGCAGGTTAGTTCAGCAAAAAGGCTAACCTTTATTGAAATGAACATACGGGAATATCCTTCTGCGCTCTAAAAAAGAAACTTCTGATAGTAGGATTATGTAAATTATGTTGTTCTTATGTTAAGTGGTATTTTAAAGCCCGCCATTATTTCCAAAGTAAAACAAAAGAAAGTTGCATAAGCAAAAGAAGGTCAAAAATAAGACGCGTCTTAGCTAAGCCGCGTCTTTTTTTTTAGACGAAATGTGTCGTTTATACGGAAAGTTCGCGTCTTTTTAAAGACTCGTCCTATGTAAGACGCGTCTTATTTTTCCTCGTATAAATGGCCCTTTTGATTCGATCGTAAAATGATTCATTTGGTTGAACTACAGTCGAGCCTCTCCACAATGGCCGACTTATTGACGAGATCAAGCAAAACTAACTACGAGAGAACGGCTGGAGAACTGACGATTTGACTAACAAAAGACGACTGTTTAACTGTGATAATAAATGGATCAAAACGCACCAATTACTGATTACCAGTCTTCATAGGCAATAACATCACGGCTTAACTAACAGACGACCAATAACATCGCAACGTAATTGACCAATCAGATCAATAACCAGAGTACCCCAACTGACGTGATACAACTCACTTCCATTCTGAAGATGACTACCGCACAGGTTGTCGAAACGTCAGTCACTGTCAACAACAACGGTCCTATTCAGGACTACGTTCACCCGGACGATCAAACTCAACCTACTTTAGAAATGACTCCTGAGTTCAAACCTTTCACAGTATATTAATTCCGCTCATACAATATCCAGGAGAGTTAATTGGTGTTATCAGTTTGGGAATATCATTTTTTGGTAATGGATTCATGAGAACCGTCACGAGTATCTAGTGCAGTATGACAAAGTTGATGACTTAGTGTAGTATGATAAAGTTGATGTCTGGTGTAGTTGGTGTTTTTAAAAGCATACTCGAGATGAAGCGACGTCTCAGGATGTGAAGAGAAAGTTCACTCAACCCTCGAAATAACAAATTTGGGAAAGGGAAGGAATTCACAGATGGATGGTAAACCACATGCATCTCAGTCACAAAAGAATCCCCACCCTACTGTCCCTAGGGGCCGTATAGCGTTTTATGATAACTCATAGCTACAGGGGCGTAGCGTGACCATTTTGACAAGTACGTTGCCTAGTTCCTGTACGGCGTTTTCCCAGTCCCTCTCGGTCAATTCGTTTCGGTGACGTATCCGAGGCGAACGGGCGGGAAATGGCCTCACATTTTCGCATGGACCACGTGACCCGAAACACGTTGACCGCGAGGAAAAATGAGGCCTAGGGACTAGGCAAACAAGTACGCACACGAGTCCATATGGTTTGAAAACCTTCACACAAAATATTTAAGAAAAATGCTACAAATTTCTCAAGTACGCACGAGCGTATTTACGTAAAGGACGCTACGCCCCTAAGCTATGATTTTAAGATTTTTTTTAGATATTTTTAAATAAATTTGAAGCAATATTTGCTTTTCAATAGATTCCCTCGTCACATTCCTGTAAATGTATTACTAATTCTTGTAAACAAACTGTTATATGTGATGGAAGCAAATATCTAAACAAACAAACAAAAAAATAACAAATAATTCCCACCACCCCCTCCCCCTTCCTCCTCCTCCAAAAAAAAAAAAAAAGAAAAAAAAAAAAAGGACAATTGAGACATTCTCGTTCCCAGAGCTGTTATCCTTTTGGTCAACGAGAATGAAATTTGACATTATGCGAACGAATATCTTCGACATTTTCCTAAAGGTACCAAAAACGTGCAACTTGTTTTGCAGTATTGCTGCCAAACGAGTTGAATAGCAATGTTGCGCGTTTTACCACCCACGTTTGAACCAGTTAAATCGAAGCTTCAACATGCCCCCCCCCCGGGCATACCCCGGGCATTTGACACTTTTGCCGTCCCGGGGAGGGGGGAATTTAATTATCAGAGTGTTCCAGGGGGTGGGGACTTTGATCCCCATGCCTTAGGGGTGGGGAATTTGAACTGCACCCTCGATTTCATGTAAAATCTTTGGCGTGGCGAGCCATCATGGGGGACGCGGTGTCAGAGGATTTTCGTGGAAAAGATTGTGCCTTAGTGGCCAATTGGTTACGAGGAAAGGGCTTAAACAAGTTTTGTGCCGTATTTGAAGTATTTAAATTTTAAAATTTTTAATATTGGATTCAGGCTTTGAATGTATGAATGTATTTTATTGTTGTGTTTACAATGAAATACAATACCTATACCGGCGATTCAATACAGCAACATAAAATAAAATAAAATAAAAAGCTCAGGTCAACTACTTTGACCTACTGCAAGTATGTTAATTAATAACGTGAGCAATGATGCATGTCAGTGAAATGGTCATGATGTAGTAATCTCAATGGGTGGGATCTTTTTTTATAGAACGCTTTGTATGTTGCATGACTAAGAAAATCTGATTATTCGCCTAGTAGCAGCGATTTCCGCCGCTTTGCACGAGACTTTTGTTCGTAGTAAATACCGTAACAATGTTCCTCAGTTTTTGTTATATTTATAAAGATTTTGTTCGACAAATGAAGGCGTTTCGGCCGTCCTTTCTGTCATTTTTGTGCCCGTGAAATGTCCTCGGGGTGAGGGCATTTGATCACCTGAATGGATCCTAGTGTGTGGCATTTGAACGTCATTTTGGCCCGGGTAGGGGGGAATTTGAACAATAATTTTGAAAAACGTCAAATGCCCAGGGGGTTACCCGGGGGGGGGGATGTTGAAGCTTCGATTTGACCGATACATAACAACCTGATTTGTTGCAAGACAGGTTTGATGTGGGTGGTAAAACGCGCGACACCGCTATTCAACTCGTTTTGCAGCAATGTTGCAAAACAAGTTACACATTTTTTGTTGCCCGTTTTTTGATCAGACAGACAAAGCTACAATCTAGAGCAGGACACACAATGTAACACCAAATGCCCTTTGAGGCCTCTTGAAAGCCGCTTGGGTGACTACCGCAAGTATAATACAAAGTATCAAAGCAGTCTGGGAGAGTAAACAGAAAGAAAAAAAAGGACAAGAAAAAGATCAAGTAACGAGTTTGACCCCAGAAAAATACAGAGTTAATCGTTGCGTTCTCAACGACGATCCTTGTCTCTTTTACTAGATGCCTGTCATGGCGCACACCAGTAACTCGAACTCAGTAGAGTTTTACACAGACTGTTTACATACCTGATCAATCTTATCGTGGAGCAAGGGCAAACCATTAGATATCGATCTGTTTGAAGAATTCTCAGCCAAGGACTGAATTCCATTTTTCTCCCCCTCAAGAAAATATTAAAAAATTAAATCAAGAGCTTCTTGTTCTCTCGTGTGGAGGTAATTTACTTTTTCACCCGAATCGAACGACGTTCTAATACTACTGTCTGCATATTTGGATGAAGTTTTGAAATTTGTAACAACCAGCACGTGCTGGCGATGCTTTGGCTTTGACGTATCATGACGTATCAACAACCATAGTCTCGATACCTGACTATCATGGCACTACAGTATGCACGTGCGTACCGGGAAAAACATGTCCAAGGTATTTTA